AATCACAAATACAGTTGGTGGCCTTTTGCACGTCATACTCCCAGGAATCTCAGGAAAACCCAAGAAACAAGGATTTATCTTTTATTGGACCAACTATGTAGTCAGGATAAAGTTAGACAACCTTTTGAATGCAATTCATTCGTCCTCGGGTCTCATCACAGGGAGCCAGGAACAGAAAACCCAGGTGAGACTACCAAATTTAATGAACAGACTAACTTTCTATTGCATCACAAAATTTACTTGGTTTTATTCTGCAAGCATAATCAAAACAAGAAACTGAATTATTTCATAGTAAACATTTCATATGGTATACCTGTGCTTGTACATATTTTATAAAAGTGAAAGTCTTCATAAACTGACCTCTATACCAGTATTTCTCAACCAGTGGGTCACACAAATATATGAAAGGATCATGAACAAACTTTAAAAATGGATTCTCCTTTAAAGGAGAAAAACCATGGGAAACCGTGGCTTTTCCCTTGCAGGCTGGCAGACTTCAAGCCTGCAAGGGGCTGCTTGGGGCTCCCCATACCCCACCACCCCACCCCCATCCCAGACACTGGGGAGCTGGGGCCCAAGGGCAGGGGGCAGTGGGTCAGGAGTGAGGGGCACTGGGTCAGGACTAGTCATTGATGTTTACAAATGGACCCTGGTCCAAAAAAGGTTAAGAACCACTGCTCTAATACAGCACTCTAAAAAGATAACCTCAAAAACTGAAAAATAACTTGAGTCTGCTTTTTGGGAGATTTTATCACGTAAGATCATGAAAGTGCTTATTTATTTACAAACGCTATCATTATTTACACCATCTATAAGTGAGAGCATAAGTCAGGACATTCTGAGCATAAGACAGGACAGTCCACCTATTTTTTGACACCACACACATGACAGAAATAAGGAAAATATCTGTTTGAAAGGAAATTTTACTTTCAGATAGTAAGTTCACTCAACCAATTTCAGGCTTGATGTAACCCTACTTCAGGAATGGGCTTGGCTCTTCTGTAAAGATATGCTTAGATACTTTAAACATATTCTTCCCATAACAACTTCTCATTTTTCCTGTTTTGATGACAGAGCATGTCTCTTCCCCAAACCATGAGATATTACTTGTGAGATTCAGGAACTTTTTATGTTCCTTAACAAGCAGATTTCTGGAGACGTTAACTTTGCAGTGGTGAGAGAGCCAAGTGCAGCAATGCATTAAACACTACATTACATATCTCTATTCAATCTGAATAGGTTATTACCTCTGCTATCCCGCCAGTCAATTACAAGAAGGCAAATGTGAATCCTTTACAATTACTGTGTGGTATTACTTTTGCTTTGTGCCTACAAATCTGCTGCAAAGCACTAATCTTACAAAACTAACATCCATCCTTTACTTTGGTAGTGCCAGTGACAGGCATACTCCCTCACTTGTAATGCAAAATAAGACAGCAAGATGCAAAGGCATTTATTTCACTGCCTTTTCATGCTAGGTTCAGATGCTGCCTACTTTTCAAAGCTGTAATTCTACTTCTGACACATCTATCAAGAGATGGCGAGTATGAAAATCATAGCTTGCAAAAAGGCCAGTTTGACTCAATGCCCACCCCTGCAACTAGCAGTGAACTATCCTGTTAAATCAGGCAATGAGCTGCAAACAAAAACAAAGCATTTTCCCAAATAAATACTACCAACACAGCAAATTTTCTCTTGGCTCATCCTATTTTCATTTAAACACACTGCTTGAGGCTGTTCGGGGTTTTAATAATACAAAAAGGCATTTTCCAAGTGTAAAGAAGAGGGCAATGATGACAACAAGCACAGAAAGGAAGTTTATTTTCCTAGACTAAATTTCCTCCAGCCCCATAAGTTTTCTTTGGCTAAACATCTTCAAACCCACAGGCCATACTGCAATTCTTGGCAGAGCCACTCCCAGGGACAGCCGACTATATTTCTGCTGCGCAGCCCCAAGGCTTTGCCTCATGCTGTGGCAAACTCACTTAAAACCACTTCCTAATCTCAAGAACCTCAGAAGAAAGACTCTCTCCTCAACCCAGGACTGCACCCACTTCTTACATGCCTTCATCACTAGAACAGTGATCAGAGCAAGGCTACTAGATCCCAGACCCGTGGACCAGACACAGCCCCTCATGGGCCAAGTAAGGGGTTGGCAGGGGCACCACTCCTCTGCTGCCTGACTGCCAGAGCTGTGGGAAGCTGTTGACCCTGAGCACTAGCGCAGGACAGGACAGGCAGCGCCAGGCCCCAGGGTCGCATGGCAGAGGCATTGCCAGGTGTACGATAATTAGCATATTTGTACAATTTCAACCCTTATACAATGCATGATAGATGATACTAAAAGCGTTCAAAATGCATGATAGGCAGACAAGGTTCTTTGGGTAAATCCAATATCTTTTCTTAGACCAACTCAAACGTTGGAAAAATTCTTTGCAAAAGCTTTCAGGTACAAACACCCTTGGATCAGGCCTGTACCTTCATTTGTATCCAAAAGCTTGCAAAGAAGAATTTTTTTCAACTATTTGAGTTGCTCTAATAAGAGAGGTCAGATTCACCCAAAGAACCTTGTCTGCCCTGCAGCCCTTAGGCCAGCAGCTCCGTCTGTGGTATGGTTACCACCAGTGGTATGCAGACAGCCAGTCAGTAGCACATGTTAATGCATGTATTATAATTACGTTATAGAACAAAAATTAGCTTGCAGCACTTAAGGTTGTATCATTTTAAATGGGTGGTGCGCAATCTCTCAATTTAGGAAGGGCTGCCTTAGACCAGCACGGCTACAACCTATCCTCCCAAAACGTACGATGACTTCGGATGCAGTTACTCGATGCAGCCTATGCAAAACCCAAGCCAAGCTCAGAGACTGACTTCCGGATGCGCTCTCAGCACTTCCTTACTGCGGCTTGCTCCAAATAAAGACTCACTTCCACTTGGAGGACCCAGTTCTCACTCGCAGGAGCCTTCCAGTGAACAATATCAAGTAAATAAGACTTATCTGCATACATTTCCACCCCCCCTCCCCCGCCATGTACGAGTTTTTCAGCAAATACAATCATTTGTGCTTCCAATACGATCATTGCATATCGAAGACCAGACAAGGCGGCAGGGCAGCAGGTGTCCGGTTGTTACCCCCTCAGGCACATGCGCCCCCCGCAGCTACCGGAACAGCACCCCCCTCTCCCCTGAGCGGAGCCGCTGGGCAGCGGGGCCGGGCCTCGCGCGCCAGCATCAGTGACAAGTCGGGCCCAGCCAGGCCGGGGCCACCCGCGCCGGCCCGGGGTGAGGGGGGGGG